TGAAGTTTCATTTAGAATGATCGGATCTTTTCAGACAAATTGAGGCATGTTGCATTTGGTCCTTACAGTGATGATAAATTTAACTCATTCAAGATGGCAAAGATGTCAACCAAGTAAACTACTTTCTGCAGTTCACTTTTATTGCCAAAAAGTGCTTCGAACTGCAGTCTTGCTTGCTGATTAAAAAACGTTTTGAGTTCATCAGGAAGCTCAAAAACATCTTTTAAAAATTTTCCTCTCGACAACCATCTCACTTCAGTGTGAAATAGCACAGCATTGTTCGGCGCATCCAACTCGTTGCACAGTTGCAAAAACAGTCGACTGTTTAAAGTGCTCACCTTTACAAAATTGACACAACTTATGATGTTTTTCATTACTTCTTGTAACTCTTGTGGCAGCGTCTGCTAATATTTGCCGATGAATCATACAGTGAGTTCCGATGACTTCTGGTGACTCATTCAGTACCAAACGTTGCAATCCAGATCGACATCCTATCATAGCTGGAGCACCATCTATGCAAACACCACAAACCTTTTCCCAAGAGATCTTATACTCTTTCAGAAATGAACCAACTGTGTCAAATACATCACGTGCAGTAGTTGTCATTTCAAGAGGTTTGCAAAAAAGAAACTCATCTTTAAAGTCGCCATCATTAATATACCTCACGTAAACCAGTAACTGTGAACAGTTTGCAATGTCTGTAGATTCATCAAGCTGATACTAAATATTGGTAGTGGAGCAGATTTAATTTCCTGGATAACCTGATCAAGAATATCAGCAGACATGTCATCTACTCTTCTGCGGACAGTGTCGTTAGAGAAGGAAATTGCATTCAATTTTGTAACAAATTTGTCTCCAATCATAACTCGAACAATGTCTTTGGCCACTGACAACAGTAAATCCTCAGCAATGGTTTGAGGTTTCATAGCTCTGGCGATTCTGAGTGCCACCAAATATGAAGCATCAACGGCTGCTACGTTTTGTTTGTGTACTTGTCACCAGTGTCAAGTCTGGCTTTCTTGAGTCCATCAGTTTTGCTTCTAAAATAGTTGGTATCCTTGCCGGCAAAGCTCGGATGGCGTTTTAGTTTGTTCGGCTCCATAGATTCGCCTTTGTCCATCAGCGTTGCTTCTAAAATAGTTGGTATCGTTGCTGGCAAAGCTCGGATGCTTGCTATCAAAATGGCGTTTTAGTTTGTTCGGCTTCATAGATTCGGCTGATAGAACCTTACAACAAATAACACATTGAGGTTTCTCAATTCCTCCTATTATTACTGAGGTAAAACCATACTGTAAAAAATCCTCACTATATTTTCATTTCTTAACGTTCTTCTCTACATGATCCATTGTCATGGGATGGTTTGCTAATGAAAATAATATATAACAATAGCTTTAATAATACAAAAGATGATACATGGCATAGTTCAGTCAATACAGTTCATTAAAGTTTCCTATGATTTACCATTCTGTGTTTTTTTTTTTTACATACCTGCTACTATCACAAGGGGGCAGTGTTCACATCAACCACAGTTGAATATAAAAAGACCGATCAGCATCCAGATTAAGTTCCCATGGTACAGATATTTTTTTTTTGCAGTAGTTGATGATTTTACTTTTTTTTTTTTTTTAAATAAATTTCAGTAACTCAAAAACAGAGCTAAGGGGAAGAGAGCCTTGTTTTACAGATGGAAAAACAGAGGCAAAACAAACAAACAAAAGAAGCAAAGGCAAGTTTCATGGTTCAGTCACTGTATTGGATGGAGGGCAGGCACGATGATGATGCGTGGGGTTACCATCCAGTCACTAGCGTGCCTCTTCAGAGATGCCCCATCCAGGGTGAATGAACTTGGCTCCAGTAGACACACGCATGGTAGAAATCAGGGAAGAAAACTTGGTTCCAGCATGAATTTCTGGGTCCTCCACTACAGCCTCTTGCCATCCTCTATATGTTTCCACAGAGAGAACAAAATGAGGAATCTGAGATTCCCTTCTGCCGGGCCAGAGAGTGTGTCCTGCATCCCAAGAGCTGGCTGGCAGTGAACAGCAGGCGTTCCTGCACAGGAGAGTCAGGGGCCTCGAGGCCTCTCCCTTCCCAATCAACAGCACAGTCATGTCTGCTCTCCCTGTAACAGTGAGCTCTGCTCGAGAGCCCCCCAGGTCCCAATGTCTACCGTCTCCTGGGAACCTGTTGGCAGACAGGGAGATTTAGTCAGACATGCCGTGCACTGACTGCCTGGTGCTCCTGCTCCTTCACCGATGGCCAGGACAATCCGGGTGCTGGGCACGAAGCTACAGGAGCGACCCAAGGCAGGTTTAAGCTTCTCGCTGTCCCTGTCTCGGGTCATGTGGTTGGTCACCACCACAGCCACACCAAGGTCCCGGGCCAGGGTCTTCAGCTCCAAGGCCAGCTGCATCATCAAGGCCAAGCCTTCCCTCTGCTGACCTCCCAGAAGTGGGGAGACCACGGCGGTGACGGAATCCACAATGACCACCTTCACAGTTCCTGAAGAATGGCTCACCTGCTGGGCCACAGCACCTCGGAGACCCTGCAGCACATCCAGCATCTGGAAGATGTCAAAGGCACGCACCACCTGGATCCTCTGGAGGGCTCCTGCCTGCTCTTCCTCATCTGGGGTTCTGGCCTGAAGTAGCTGGAGGATGTGGGAGTCTGTCAGCCCTCCATTGGAATCAACATATAGGACGTTCTGCTGCAGGCCATGGGCCACATTTGCAGCCACACAAAGACATACCTGGATTTTGCCGCTACCTGGGGACTCCTACGATTTCAGTCACTTCTCCAGTATAGAGACCAGCATCGAGCAGTTTGTCTAGGCTTCCAATGCCAGTGGACAGGATGGCAGTGGCGGACTTCAGTTCCTCCTAGAGATCGGCGCCATTGCAGGGGAAGGCTGAGAACTGAGCCAGCAGCACCCGCCTCAGGGCAACCAAGGCCTTGTAAGACAAGCCACACTTCTGCGCGACTTCTTCCAGGTCTGCAGAAGCCAGGTCCGCGGAAGCCAGGTCCACCACTGTCTTGATCCCGTGGCTCCTCAGGAGCTGGACCATGTCCTGGGTGAGGCCTGGGCAGAGCCCGGCCCTGAGCACACCCATGTTCGCTGGGGCCCGGCGCCGCCCTCTCCAGACGCCCGCGGCACCCTCTCCCAAGCCCGGATGGACAGCTCTGAGAGTGCCGGTCTCCCGCGCCTGGGCCCACCAGCCCGGGCCGCACCGCCTCTTCCGGCTTCCAGGCTGCGGAGCCAGCGGGCCAGTACATGATTTTACATTTACCCAGTAATTATAATTCATGAAGTGTCATTTTACCTCCAATACTGCTGCTTTCAACACAGTAGCTGCTTTTAACAGAGAGGCTGCTTTCAACACAGTAGCTGCTCTCTACACATGTGTGACTGGTCCGAATAAGTACATTATGGTGCCAACCCTGTCACATACACCTGTAAGCATATTTTTTAAAAAGATGCAATACCTGACTATACAGGGGCACTGAGCTCTTTTCCTTTAGATTTTCAAATAAAAAAATGACAATAGCCAACACAACAAAAGCCATCCGGTGTGAACGAATCAAAATTCTAACTATATTTTTGTCAGATTGGCAAAAAATATACTTTTTTGGTGTGCTGAATTTTAGTAATTAGTTTATGTGTGCATGAGATGAAAAAGGTTGAAAATTGCTCCTATAACCATGTAACTCAATACTTTGGAAGATGTTTATTCAGAGGGTTGAGAAGTTTGACTTAAACATCAAATAGGTGCCTGCTGAGATAGAGAACTACACAAAATCCAGGGGAAGCTATTCTGTGCCCTGCAGGACAGTCTCTGTGGTACATACAGTAAGTCCCCAATTGATGCTGTTGATAGGTTCTGGGACTTTAAGCAAAAGGATGTATAATGAAACCAATTTTACCATAGGCTAACAGATGTAAACAAGAGTTCTTTTTTTTAATTGTTTAAAGTATTACATATGTTTCCTCCCCGCCACTCCCACCCCCGAGGCAAGCCCCCACCTCTGTGTCCATTGGTTATGCTAATATGCATGCATACAAGTCCTTTGATTGATCTCTAAATCCTCCCTCTCTCCCCAATCCCCTGTCATTTGTCTCTAGATTTTTGTTCATCAGTTTATTTTGATCATTATATCCCATATATGAGAGAGATCATGTAATATTTATCTTTCTCTGACTGGCTTATTTTGCTTAGCATACATAATGCTCTCCAGTTCCATCCATGCTGTTGCAAATGGTAAAAGTTCCTTCTTTTTTATAGCGGCATAGTATTCCATTGTGTAGATAGATGTATTACAGTTTTTTTTAATCCACTCATCAGCTAATGGGCACTTAGGCTGTTTCCAAATCTTAGCTACTGTAAATTGTGTTGCTATGAACATAGGGTTGCGTATATCCTTTCTGATTGGTGTTTCTGGTTCCTTGGTTAAGAGTTAAGTTCTTACAGCAAAGATTCCTGGAGCAAGAAGAGCCAAGCATAATAAAGGAGAGTGAGAGGCTGCCATCTCAGTTGTTTCTCAAAGAAACAACTTTAAATGGAATGATATCTTATTTGAGGACTTGCTGTATTCCAAGCCCCATGATCACTTACTGAACCAGCTCTCTGCCCCAGTTGAAGATCTGTGCAATCTGACAGCTACACGTGTCTGGGCTGCACAGTTTAATTCAATAAGGCAAAGAGTAAGAAAATAAAGACACTTCTTAAGAAGGTTACAGTGGAATAAGCTCTGTGAAAGAATTAAGGACAAGACACTCTTGTGGAACTAGAATGGCTGCTGCAATGCGTTATGCTTAGGGGCAACATTGGGAAGAAGGCTTTAAAGAAACACAATGACTGACTGGCTCAGTCAGCCACTGCTACCATCCCTCCAGCCCCAAAGCCTACATAAAGATATAGGAAAAGGAATGAATACAGAACAAGAAAGGGTGTATCTAACTCCAAGAAGCAGATCCCCAACAAAAAGCTATTAGTAGTTATCTCTAAGGGGGCAGTTCTTGCAAAACCAATGCCAAGAGTGGGAGCCAATACCTAGAAGACAAACTGCCTGTCAGGCCCAGCCCCATGTACCACCCTATCCCCAATCAGCAGCAGCATGTGAGATAACCTGATTTGATCTGAATCCAAGTCCTGTGTCCGACCCGACATTCAACAAGACAAGTGGGCTCTCATTGGGCTGCAGAAAAAACAAGCACACCCGAGATATGCAACTAAAATACTAATAGATACTTCAAAAATCACAAACTTTTGGGGAAAAACCAATGTCATAAAAGAGAGGTGCCATAATTAATAAGCAGAAGAACATCTGATTTCAGGAGCCAGTTTAGGGAAACAAGAGTTTAAAAGAAGTACAGATTATGATAGAGATTCTAAAATAGATCCCATCAATTTAAAAAAAACAACTCTACAGCTACCTCTACAAATTTAAAAAATATGCCCTAGCTGGCTTGGCTCAGCAGATAGAGCGTCGGCCTGCAGACTGAAGGGTCCCAGGTTCTATTCTGGCCAAGGGCACATGCCTGGGTTACGGGCTCGATCCCCAGTAGGGGGTGTGCAGGAGACAGCCAATCAATGATTCTCTGTTATCATTGATGTTTCTATCTCTCTCTCCTTCTCCCTTCCTCTCTGAAATCAATAAAAAAATATATATTTTTTAAAAAAAGAATTTAAAAAATATTATTATAAAAAATAGGTTTCGGGTATATAAATCTAAAATCAATATTATCTCATCTATATCAAAAGCAACGTCTACCTGTTAATTAGTAAGTTAATAAGCAGCTTTAGAATTATTTCAATACTTGAATTTAAAATAATCTCAGCACACAAATATTTGTTTATTGATGTCAACATTAAGAAATAGTGTTTTCTTTGCAACTTTGTGTGACTCCAGTTATTTCAAAATAAAGAATTTTTTAAAAAAATAAATATAATTTTTTTATTATGTGGTTTAATATTTTGTCTTTAACTGTCATTTATCAGAAATAATAATAAAGCAGTTTTAAACCATGAAAAAAAAAATTCAAGATGTGCTGAATAGTGGAATGGATCCCACTAGAGATCAAATTAGCAACTGGAAGATGGAGCCTAGAGATTGTACACAAAAGGATTATCAAAAAGAAGAAAAATGGAACACAAATGCTAAACCGTACGCAGAAGCAAGCCAGATGTTCTATCTCTTAAAAGGCATTCCACAAGAAAAGAAAAAGAGAAAAGAACAGAAAATTACCAGACCTGAAAAATCAGTCTAAGATGTAAGACTGATTTTTTAAAAAATCTCCTAACTATATCCTAGACACATCTTAGACCTCCAAATAAAAAGAGAAAATCCCAAAATCTTCCAGAAGAGAAAAAATCAGATTACCATCAAATCTGTAATCTGCAACAGTGAACACTTAAGGACAACAAAACAATGTCTTCCAGCTTCTAAAGGATAATTAAATCCAGCCTACATCCAGCCTAATTATCATTCAAATGTGAGGGCAAACATAAAGATTTTTTTCTTTTCCTTTGAACATTCAAGAAGTGAAAAGGCAACCAAAATTCTAAACATGTAGGTAAATCTATATGAATATTGACTTTGCAAGCAATAATAGTAATATCTTCTGGATTTTAAATATGAGAGAATTTAAATAAATGAAAATAGTAGCATATAAGGAGGAAGTGGTAAAAGTGAAGTTT